AAATAAACCTTAACCCGCCCCAGGACACCGCTTTTGTGCAAACCCCCCCCCCCCCCTCCCCATTAGAAGCCCAGTATGGCAAGAAATTTTTTGAAAATTGCCCTGCCCCCATAGGGTACTTTTTGAGAAAATTTTGCCTTTCTTGCGGGACATAATAGAAACCCACTGGGCTTCTAATGTGGACGGGGGTTTAGTATAATCCCGTTCAAATAAATAATGTTATATATATATATAATGGCTTGTCCAATTTTAGTGCAGATATGGCGAAAATTTTTTACCTTATTTCATTTTATTTAATAAATAGTTTACGCCAACAACTAATTAATTGTTTAAATAAGGTTTTCTCTCATGTTTTGTTCTCTAACCTTTCATGCGTCGTAATAATGATTTTTCACATGTCATAGTTTGATATGAAAGAAATGAGGATTTCCATTATCTAGAACGCAAAATATTTCTAGTATATGTATATACCTTTTCTGCAACAGGATTGAGTTTTCTTGGTTTATTTATAGCAGGAAACTATTGTCTTCATACTCGTTACATTTCAACAAGTCTTCTTGATACCGATCGGCCTCTGTTTACTCTTCTTTCTCATGGTGGCCACTGTCACCATCGGGCTGATATCCACCTCTTGGGAAACAGAGCCGGCAATGTTCATGAACCACCATTATCATTCCTTTTAGAGAACCAAAATGATTTTCTAGACTTAGGCGTTTTTCGAACAGCTGTCTGTGGTATAATGGCTGTAGCAATACTGTAGTAACGAACATTTTCTATCCTCTACGTTTACAAATAAATCTGTATAATAACAAGAAACAGTAATTGCAGTTGTACGAGTTGCATGTTCAAATACCAGACAGTTTGCAACAAAATTAGATTCAAGAAAGTCGGACCAGGGTAAACTATCTTGCAAAAATCGCGACGTGACTCGCGATGAAAAGTCACGGCGTGAACGCATCACGTGAATAGTAGTCTAGCCGCTAAATGCGACGCTCTTACCGCGATCGCTATAAATTCGCGATGAAGTAGAATTTCTACTATACTTTCGTTAGACTCGCGGCGTGACTCCCTAAGTCGCTATATGAGTTCCGCTTTCTATCCATTAAACTAGAACGAATCTTCATTCTGGCTATAGGAATCGCTACATTGCGACATGAGTCCTACATTTTATGGAAAAAAAATCAGCGCGACAGATGTTCTCGCTACATGACTCCTATAACCGCTGCATGAGTCCTACTTGCGCAGAGCGAATTTTTTCATTCTCGCCATTTTACAATGTTGACTTCTTGCTTGCAGTATCATCCAGCCTTGTGATAAAGCCGAGTATACCAGTTTTTCTTCTTTGCTCAATGTTATTCAACATTATTTACGATAAATTACAGTAAAGTCACAACAGAAAGATAAGCATCAGAAAAGAGTAATATCAGAGGTTTGTATTTCAACGAGGAAGGATACTTTGTCAGCATCCAGCTTGGCACTTAAGTGCAGCGTGTTTTACCGGCTAACTCTTCGGAACAGGATGCACGTAACAAGTAAACAGTTATTTCAGAACAGTATATCTGGTGGAAACGGAAGAAGTCCTTTCGCCTTTTCTGTTGTTATAAAGTTGAACTGAATGGTTTTTTTAAAGTACGGCTAACTGAGAAGATATTTTGAAAAATCAAATTCGAAAGTGAATGCTTCAAGAATACCATCAACGGTTAATCCAACGGTATCCACCTATATTTTTCAATTCTGGTTTGCCATGCGACTGGAATTAGATCTCAAAATATACGTGAGATAGATTGATATCGCATTGCTCGTCTATGGGTTTTTTTACCGTAGGGAAACGTATGCTGTATGTGACGAAGCATCACGGTTGTACTTACAGAGAATGTGTATCCGAGAAATACTAACGCTATGAACAGTTCGCTGCTAGAGCCGAGAGCTAATCTAGTATCCTGTGAACTTCGCTACATCTTGTAAGTCACGTGTGAAACATGGTGAAAAAAATGAATGCACGTACTTACGTATCATTGTTAGTCAAATAATAACAACTTATCTTGTTTTAAATAAGAAGGTATATTCTTCTTATTGAAGAAGAAGAAACTAAAGCACATTTCTCTATGGATAAAAAGAACTCGTTCTTCTATCCGAAAAAGACGAAAATAGAGCACATGTCTGTGTGTGTATATCGCTATGAATAAGAAGGAATTTTTTATTCCCTCTATCGAAAAAGAAGAAAATAAAGCACTTGTTAGCCTTTTTTC